AAAAAAAAAAAAAAAAAGCCACCTATGTGTCTTATTCAAAAGTAAAAGTTAATCAGCGGTACACCACTTGTGTGTTAATTTCTGTCCTTAAAAAGTCCTTGAGGGGCCAGTAGGTGACATGGTGGTTAAGGTGCTGGATCCCACATGGCTGACTCTATGGTTCAAGGCCTGGACCCAGTGTCTTGAAAATCGCACCAGGCACCTGTGTGTGCACGCCCAAAGTCCCAAGAGGAGAATGGAGGAGGAAGGATTATGGCAAGGCCATTCCCCTTGGGCTTTTTCCTCACTTTCCTCCTCTGTATCTGTCTCTTGAGAGTGCACGTATCCTGTAGAAAATAAAAAAAAAATTGGTCTAGCAGGTGGCATCGAGGTTAAGGTGCTAGATCCCACCAGGTCAACTACACAGTTCAAGTCCCAGACCTGGTGGCTTGAGAGTCACGCCAGGTGCGTGTGCATGTGTGCCCAAAATCTCAAGAGGAGGCTGAAGGAGAAGGGATTGTGGCCATACCTGGGGAGGTTGTTTCTCACTTTCCTGTTCTCTCTCTCTCTGTTTCTCTCTCTCATTAACATACATGCCCTATAGCAAAACAAACAAACAAACAAACAAACAAAAACAAACTAAATGAGCTGTATGTGGTAGCACATGCCTGTAGTCCTAACCATTCATGGGGCTGGGCAGGAGGATCATGAGTTTGAGGCCAGCCTGGGGAACATAGCAAGATCCTATGTCTTGAAAAATAAAGTGGAGAAAAATGGGAACCAGCAGATGGTGTAATGGTTATGTCACTGAATTCCCACATAGTCGACCAAAGTTCGAGTCCCAGGCCCAGTGGCTTAAAACTCATGCTGGGCGTGCATGTGTGTATGTGCCCAAGATCCTGGAAGGAGAATAGAGAAGGGATTGCAGTGTGGCCATAACCCCTGGGGGGGATGATTTCTCACTTTCTGTCTATCTCTGTCTCTCCAGTGAGTGTATGCTCCCTATAGCAAAAATTTCTTTAAAAAAATAAAATAAAGAGAAAAATTAAAAATAGATGAATTGAGGATGAGTACTCTAACTTGTAAAATTGTAGATTCTCAACCTTGCATAATGAGTGGAAGCTAGATGATAGGAAGAAGTAGATAAAAAAGTCAAGACGGGCTAGCAGATGGCATAACGGTTACGTCATTGGACTCCTATGTAGTTCGAGTCCATGACCTAATGACTTAAAACACACCGGGCACATGTGTGCGTGTGCCCAAAATCCCAAGAGGAGATGGAGGAGGAGGGACTAAGGCATGGGATTCCCCCTAGGGGGTGATTTCTCTGTTTCATATGCCCTACAGCAAAAATCTAAAAAAAAAAAAAAAAAAAAAAAAAAAGCCAAGACCAGTTTATGCCATATTTAGTCTCAACAGTTGAAATGGGACTGGAGGGGCCTTAGTCAGGTGGACTCATCTTAAGATTTGAAAAACCATTCCAAAGGAAGTATGGAAAGTAGCTGAAAGCAGGGAGAATTCTCTCTCTCTCTCTCTTGCAAAGATATACCAAGGCGCTATTAGCTATCTCCCAGGTGGTGATGCGCAGCTCAGTGTTTTCCCAGTGCACGAGTTAGTAAGTCATAGATTTAAACACCCATCCATATCTTTTAGAGTACCTTAAATATTTCTACTATACCTGATGCAATGAAACTCCCCAACAAATTCACACTGAATGGAGCAGTCTGAAGTTAGAATACACACATTGAAGTAGAAGAGTTGATAAATAAAAATCATTAATATTGAGGGATGGGTAAAATATCTATTTTATGGGCTTAATGGCATCCATCACATGCAGTTATGACTCTTTTAATAAAAATGTCATAATGGGGCCGACAGGTGGCGTGGTGCTTAAGGGCGCTGGACTTCACATGGCTAACCACAGTTCAAGTCCCAGACCTGGCAGCTTGCTTTCTCACTTTTGCTCTCTCTCTTTCTCACTTTCCCTGTTCCTCTCTGGTCAAATTTAAATAAGTAGACAAACAAACAAATAAATAAATAAAGTTAAATAATATAATTGTTTAAAAAAGAAAAAAAAAGAATGTCAGAAATGCTGATTCCAAAACCTTACTGGCAATCAGGGTTGTACCTTGAAAGCCATTCTACTTACACACACTCACATACTTGAAAGAACTGTACGTTCCCCAGGACGCCCTGAACACCGTTCGTTTCGTAGAGGAAAACAAAGGCTCTGGTGATGATGAGTTAACATTCCCTGAGTATCGTGCCCGGGACTTCTATGGCTCTCAATCACCTTAACTGCCGTATGAGGTACTTTCAGTGTCATCCTGGTTTCACAGATGAGGAGATTGAGTCTCATGGAGATTTAGTGATAGGTCCAAGGCTACACGGCTAGTTTGTGGCAGAGCAAGGATTTAAACTTGGGTAGTCTGATGGTGAAATAGCACCCGCAATAGGACAAGGCCATCGAGAACATTAAGGTAACATAAGGTTTCCATGCAGCAATCGCAATATAGTCAGCAGGCAGGACTCTCCCGCCCCCATGTCAGGTTTCTCCTCTAGATGCTCCTGGAGCTCCCTGAGGGCTGGAAAGAAATCCAAACTGTGCAACTCATGGCTGGGTAATATTGGGCCGTGTGCTTTAGCTTTTACACCTATAAAATATGGATAATGTTGGAACCCTTCCAAGGAATTATCAGGAGGATGAAATGAGATGAATACAGTGTATGTTAAGGTCTTAGTGCCAAACATGTACTAAATACTCAACTGTGCGTTATTATTATCTTTTTTTCTCATTTAAATGAAAAAATTTTTTTAGTAACTATAATTAAGAATGATTATTTTGGGGCCGGTAGGTGGTGTGGTGGTTAAAGGCGCTGGACTCCCACATGGCCGACCACGGTTCGAGTCCCAAACCTGGTGGCTTGCTTTCTCTCTTTCTCTCTCTCTGGTCAAATTTAAATTAAAAAAATAAATAACATTTAAATAAAATAATCCTTTTTTTTTTTTT